AAAAAAAAAAAAAAAAAGAAATTTAAATAAACAAATAAAAATGAAATGAGAGAGTTCTGCACGATAAATATTTGGACGGACACACCCAAAAACACGAAAAAATACACTTGCACTATAGTAAAATACTTAATAAAATAAATGTTGATTTTAGATGTTATGCAAAATGAAAAATGGTATCAAAACACGGTTGTATTTGTGTAACCACAACCCAGTTCAAGAAATTAAGCGGAATTTAAAATGTGTTTTAATTTACTTTAAAAACATATATATTAAAAGCCTCTTAGTAGAGGACATAGAGTAGGCTCAGTATAGACAGGCAAAAATAGATCAAAATAGTAATCGTAACTATCGCCATGATGTGAAATTATTAGTGATGATTTTTATTTTCTTGTATCTGCTTTCATTTTTCCCCTATTTTCTATAATAAACATGTAATAATTTTGTACAGAGATTTTTAACGTCATTTGAAAGCTCCTAATCTATTATCCTATGGCCAAGGAGAGCACCCTGGAAAGCTAGGGTGGTAAGGAACACAGTGGCAGTAAATAAGAATGTGCAATATGTACTGTATATGAATAAAAAACCACTTGCCTAGAAATCAAGATAATTATATTCAGGTTTCAGCTTACCACTGTGTGACCTTGCACTCACACGTTAGTATATACATTCCTTTGCCTTAACATTTCTATTCCTTAGAAATCGGTACACATATAATCCAGAAGACAGAATTATATATACAAATGTAAAGGTTCAATGCCATATAATTTATAGTATGAGAAATAAACCTAAATGTCCAAGTATACTAGAATCGTTTAGCAAATTACAGCAATGCTTTCAAAGAACCACACTAAAAATTGTAATAATAAGAGAGAAAGTTTACTAAGCTCTACTAAAAAACCTATTTTGTGGGAATTTATTGCCTAAGATATAGAGTCAAATACTAATTTTGGCTCTTACACTATTATCTGCCTGTCTCAGCGCAGGGCTCCACGTAAAAATGTCTTTTTCATCCTCAAATCCCCAAAGAGTCACTGAATATTTATCGGTAGTATTCTCGATACCTTTTTCCTACCCCTGTCACCACTCGGGTGCAATGCTGGGGGGGATGGGGATCTAGACATGTGAGTCAGTTTCTTTCCTAACAAACTCTTACTGCTATCCATTAGCAACATTATTGGTGTCTTTCTCCTGATTTCGTAGTCAGGAAACAAAATAGAGATGCTTAGAATTTAAACAGCTGGTCCAAGGTTACTCCAAACATTACTGAAGAGATAAACTTCTCCCAAAGAAGTCCTTGCTTTAGTTCAGGAGCAATAAAGAGTAACAGAATTGCCTTAGCTTGGGTTTCACAGATGTTTCACAAAAGTGAACAGTTGGGGGAAAAAAAAATGTACCTGAGACCTAGCTAAGATCAGATCCTTGACCATAGAGCAGATTTTCATATTTCAAGTCTGCACTTCCAACTGAACCAAAAGTACCCTTCAAATTGCCCTCGATTTTTCTGCATCCTCAACTCTAAACCTACTCTGCATCCCATTCATTCCTTAGTCTAAGGTCACTTCCATGGTTTTGCACACTAACTTGATTAACTCACCTTTTTCCTGTGGTCTGTAGTCATTCTGGGCTGGAGGTTCAGTAGACAACTGTAATACAGAATAAACATCATTGTCAATCATCTTTATCTAATGTCATTCACATTCAGCTGAGAGAGTAAAATTATACACTTGATCTTGGCCAAAAGGCTGAGAAGCGATCGAGAGAGTACAATTATAGAAGTACAAAGAGGCACATGTCAATAAGGAAACAGCCCAATGTCTTAACTGCTAGCAGGAAATTTGGAGGTTTTCAAGTTGTTTTTTTTTTTTTTTTTCAAGAAAAAAAAAAATGGTCCAGCATGACATAAGCCGAAGTAATTTTTCAGGAAATGATTCAAAATCTGGAGCTGCCTACAAAATTAATATTCTAAACTCGGTTGTTCTTTTTTTTTTTTTTTGTCTTACCATACGCTCTAGATACTCATTAAATACATATTAAATTGATTCCCATCTCACATAATTCTACAACAAGGAAAAGTTGCTCTGAAGTCCAGCAATTTCAGTGATGGAAACAAATGAAAACGAGAGTGGTTCTTAGGTACAGATGTTGTATTTGCTTTATTTCCTTTTGAGAAAATGGATGCATGCCAAATGGGACCAATTTCATTGTTTCTTGGAGTCTTTGGTTAGTGACATATGACAAGAGAAATGGACTGCTGGGTGTATGTGCCTGGCATCATGGGGAAAATGAACTACTTCCCAGATACATGTTTTGTGAAAATGCTGTACCCACCCCCCACGTGCCCCCAAACATCTTCCCACTTGTGCTTCAGTCTTTACGTGTCACAGGGTCAGAAATTCCATTAAATTTCTCTCCTTGTTCTCGTATTTTTATATTCAAAAACAACTACAAAGGGGGAATAAATTACATAAATATATACTAAAGTGTGAATAACGTATTTCTAATGGGTGAAACTTTAATAAAAAGTCAAAGTAGGGAAAACAGAAATGGAATTGAAACTCTACGTAAGAGTATGCCAAAACATAACGTATACAGAGAGAAGAGAGGAAAGAGAAGAGAAGCAGGGAGAGGATATTAATAAAAACTGGTATAGCTGTGGGGCACCTGGCTAGCTCGGTTGGTAGAGCATGTGATTCATGATCTCGGGGTCATGAGTTTGAGCCCCACGTTGAGCACAGAGATTACTTTAAAAAAGAAAAACGGGG